AAAAAAGAGAAGCACACTCACACAGAAACTTTTGGTTTTGTGGCTGTAGGTTATTTGTCTGCAGTAATAATGGGATTTGACAGCAGTTGATGGTTCACATTCTATGAGATCTACTGGATTGGAGCCTACAGAATGAATCACTGTTGGTGAACATTATCAAGACAGGAATAGGCTATGGTTTTGTCTCTGGAAGGTCTGTCTATATAACTATCATCCATTTGTTAGACTATATATTTTATTTTATTTATTTATTTTTTTTTTTTAAAGATTTTTTTTTTTTTTTTTTTTTTCAGAGAGAGAGGGAGAGAGAGCGAGCACAGGCAGACAGAATGGCAGGCAGAGGCAGAGGGAGAAGCAGGCTCCCGGCCGAGCAAGGAGCCCGATGTGGGACTCGATCCCAGGACGCCGGGATCATGACCTGAGCCGAAGGCAGCTGCTTAACCAACTGAGCCACCCAGGCGTCCCTAGACTATATATTTTAGAAAGAAATCCTAATATCAGAATAATGTGAAAGACAAGGAAGATAAGTTTTAAAAATGCATGGATACTCATATGAAAGATGGTTTAATTTGTTAATATAGTTGTGCAAAAGGGCTGAATGAGTCTTGCTTATGAACTTATAGCACAGTGGTGAAAATTAGGTCATTTAATTTACTCTCAAGTAGTATTGCTTTTAATCACTATTTAACAACATATGCAAAATACATTATTTGACTCAAATATTAATGTATTTACGACATCCTCATTTAGGTATTTGCTATTTGTTCTTCCCTGAGGTAGGTACCGGTTGGTTCCCAGACTTCAACTACGGCATCAAAACACCATCCAGTTATATATAAATAGGTTCCTTGATGAAAATGGAGTCATATGTATTTATCATATTTACAAAAATATACTTAATGTTTTCTCCATTATATTAAAAAAGTCACAAGTATGGCTTGACTATTTCATTTTTTTCTTAAAGAAAATACCTATTTAAAGTATTATGATATTTCCCTTCATCATGTAACTTCATTTTTTATTTATGGAGAATATTTTTCCATAATTTCAGTACATAGAAAACTGACCAAGGAAAATTTAATATTCAACTTATAATGATAAATATTTATCCTGTGTAATGAGGCTTATCTGGTATAGGTATATTTCTTTGTTAACAAGTCTTATTTCCTTCTGGAAAATGAAATGTATTGAGAATTAAAGAATTACACATGTGGTTAGAAAGCTGACCTTTAAAGCCTCTACCAATGTTTCTGAGATATTTGGCTGCCTTTTCTTTCTTTCTTTCTTTCTTTCTTTTTTTTTTTTTTTACAGTAACATCATAAATCTATAGAAACCCCAAACAAAATGCAATTTTGGTTTTACATTAATTAGCTTTGAAACATAACCTTCACAGAAGTATTTTATTATCTTTGAAGAGTCCATTACGGTATAAAATCAATACTTTAGCAGCTCAGTAGAGCATTTCATTTTTCTCAATATTTTCAAAAGAAGCCACTATATGCTTCCAATCTAACTTTTTTCTTTCCTAATGGAATTCTATACATACATAAAATAACTTTCCTAAATCATTAAAACCTAATAGGAGATTAGCAGGGTTATGATAGATTTCTGTACCTTTGTGGTGAAAAAACAGGGTAAGAACTAATAGTTTTGAGTGCCTTATGACACATGAAATATCACCTATTTTCTCAAGGGAGGATATTTGAAATTAAACAGGAACGAATTTTCTACTCTACCTTGGGGAGATTTGATAGCCCACTGCAAGTGTTGAGCCTGGGGACTCTACTTCTCTATCCTCAATCATTCAGCCCACATTCAAGAAAGGAAAACACCCTTAAGAAATAGATCTAGTCGTGAGAACAGTGTCAATGCATATTTCTCCAAAGGAAGACAACCTTCAGGTTATGAAAGCATATTGCCTACAGGAGCCACGATGGGGCAAGTTTTTGGTAAATGACAGCTGTCACTGCCTTCTGAGTAGATTCTCGGTAGACTACTACATTGGTGGTGGTCACAGAATGGGTGGAGAAACTTATTTCGAGTTGTATTACAGTTTCGTATTGCTAGGTAACAAATAAGTGCAACATTGAACAGCCTAAAACAAGAGAACATTTATCATCTCTCACAGTTTCTGTAGATTGGAAATTCAGAAGTGGCTTATTAGCTGGGGGGCTCTGGCTTAGGATGTCTCATGATGTTGTTGTTAGTGTGTCACTGGGGGCTGCAGTCACCTGAAGATTGGAATGAGGCCAGACAATTCACTGTTTAAGGGGTTCACTCACATGTATGACAAGTTGGTGCTGGTTGTTGGCAGGTGGCCTGGGTTCCTTTCCTTTGGGCTACTTGAGCATTCTCGTGAAACTCTCGTTCTTCTGGAGTGGCTGATCCAAGAGAGAGCAAGGCAGAAGCCAAAATATTTTATATGACCTAGTCTCAGAAATCACATGTAATCATTTCTAGTATATACTATTGTTTACATAATCAACCCTATTCACAGTTGGAGAGGAATACATGGATTCACAAATTCTGGAAGGTGAGATTATTGGGAGCCATTTTGGAGCCAGACTACCACAGAATATGGTAATTCTTCATTTGGATTGTTAATGGAACTGGTCTTCAGGAAAATATGTTGTGTATTGTTTTGTTCTGTTTTCTAACCAAATTCTTTGGGCTCCCATTTCCGTGTTTCTTTGAGCAACCTTCTATTACCAGTTCCTAGTACTTTCAAGTTGATCCCTTCTTTCTCAGTGCTCTGCATGGTACCCTTCCCGTTGTTAAAAAACAAAATTCAGATGAGCAAATTTGAAGATCTAATTAGCTTTATTACATGATTCATGAATTGGGTAGCATCTCATCCAGCAAGTAGAAGTGTACTCCAACAAGTTGTGCAAAATGGAAGGTTTTTATAAGAAGGAGGCTGGGGTGAGAACCTAAGTGATGCCATTTTGGACCTTTGGTTTTCCTTTTAACACTGTCCTTCCTTTCTTACAAATTCAGCAAAGATTTGAGGGCAAATTGTGTGTCAGTCACTGTATACATCAGCAAACAAAATCATTCTCTTTCTCTTTTTTAAAAGGTTTTATTTATCTACTTGAGAGAGAGATAGTGAGAGAGTAGGAGCAAAGAGGGTGAGTGGGGAAACGGGGAAACAGGCTCCCCACTGAGCAGGGAGCATGATGATGTAGGGCACCATCTCAGGACCCTGGGATCATGACCTGAGCCAAAGGCAGACACTTAACTGACTGAGCCACCCAGGCATCCCAAAATCACACTCTTTTATAGTAGCTGCTTTTCATAATAAGTTGTGTCTTATGATCTGTAATTTCCAGTTTGTCCTGTTAGCATTCTGCTAAAATTAATGTGTTTCTAATAAGGTAAATGCAATATTGTGATTCATAATGAAAAATATATGGTCTTTGACCTTATTCTTGGCACAAAGCTCCTAAAACCTCTGGAATTTTCTGTGATAAGAACAAAAAAGGTGACTTTTATTATGTTAATGAGGTTACTTTTGGAAACCTAAGTGTGGGGGCTGGTTCCCCAAGGTGCCAACCAGGTGATTGGAGGATTGGAACTTTTAGTCCCACCCCAGACTTCTGGGAAGGGAGAGGGGCTAAAGGTTCAATTAATGCCAGTGGCCACTGATTTAATTAATCATGCCTATGTGATGAAGCCTCCATAAAATCCCAAGAGATGGGAGTTCAGAGAGCTTAAGAGCTGGTGAACAGGTGGAGATTTGGAGGGAGCGGCATAATCCGAACTCTGCATGGAAGCACTGTGCCCTTCCCACTACCTTGTCGCATACATCTTTTCCTTTTTATCATAAACTGGTAATCTAGTAAGTAAGTGTTTCTCTGAGCTCTGTGAGCTGCTCTAGCAAACTAGTGGAACCCAAGGCAAGTGTTCTTGGAACCTTCAATCTACAGGTGGGTCAGAAGCACATGTGAGGCATGGACTTGCAATTGACATCGGAGGTGGGAGGGGACAGTCTTGCAAGCTGAGCATTAACTCCTGGGAGCTGGTGCTATTTCCATGTAGATAGCGGCAGAATTGAGGTAACTTAACAGGACAACTGGCTGCTGTCCTAGATTGCTTGGTGTTACGGGAAACCTCTTCCCTTCCTCATATATGTTGGAACTGGGTCCAGAACCTTTGGTAAACAATCAAGGTAAGAGGTCAGTGATTGGCAGAATCTCCTTAAAATAATATTTTTATTTTAGTAGAGGTACTCTGATTTAGGTGGAACTTCAAGGCTCTGAAGTAGATACTTAGCATGTTGGGGGGGGCTCTCTCATTTGTATCAATTTCGCTGCTGTAAGCCACTTGTAAGACTCCTTTTGTTCAATGGAGAACATTACCACCAAGCTATCTCATTTCACATGGTCTTTTGCACAGTATGGATATGCAAGAATGGGGGGGGATTATATCCATGATGCTTAAAGAGAGGCAAAAACATTAATACAGTTATCACTTCGGGAACATGATGACTATCAGCAATTAAAGTAGGTTTGCCATTTCCTTCAAAAACTGACACAGTGTGATTTGAATTTCCCCAAATATGGTGAAGAGCTTTGCATCACTGTTTTATGTATATGTTTATATCCTAAGCCAGTGTTTCAGGGATTCTGACATTTATATCTATGATTAACTCTAAGCCTATTTCTGTGTGTTTTTTTTTTGTTTCTTGTTTTTTTTTTTTTTTGAGTTTCAAAACTGTTTGGGCCAATAAATCTTTCCACAAATGACAGATTGGTCAACATTGAGGAGGTAAATGGAAACCAATGACACTCATCCAGCTGATGATATGAATGATTTATTGGACCAGATCATTTAACACTTTCATCAAGAAGTCAATACTGGGGAAAGAAAACTGGGCTCTTATTATGGTAAACTGTACTTGCTCCGTCAGCATTCAGTGATTTATTACAAACCTGTGGCTAGGATTAGGATATTATAAATGGGGGGAAATGGAAGACTCATTAATTCTTTATCCCCACAGGTGGATGACATGCAGTGGGCTAATCGAGAACACACTCACCCGGCGTCTGTCTGCAGCCTGCCCTGTAAGCCTGGGGAGAGGAAGAAAACGGTGAAAGGAGTCCCTTGCTGCTGGCACTGCGAGCGTTGTGAGGGTTACAACTACCAAGTAGATGAGCTCTCCTGCGAACTTTGCCCTCTGGATCAGAGACCAGACATGAACCGCACAGGTTGCCAGCTCATCCCCATAATCAAACTAGAGTGGCATTCGCCCTGGGCTGTGGTGCCTGTGTTCATTGCAATATTGGGAATCATCGCCACCACCTTCGTGATCGTGACCTTTGTCCGCTATAATGACACACCTATTGTAAGGGCTTCGGGACGAGAACTTAGTTACGTGCTCCTCACAGGGATTTTCCTCTGCTACTCAATCACCTTTTTAATGATTGCCACGCCAGACACAATCATATGTTCCTTCCGCCGAATCTTTCTAGGACTTGGCATGTGTTTCAGCTATGCGGCCCTTCTTACCAAAACAAACAGAATCCACCGAATATTTGAGCAGGGGAAGAAATCGGTCACAGCACCCAAGTTTATTAGTCCAGCGTCCCAGCTGGTGATCACTTTCAGCCTCATCTCCGTCCAGCTCCTGGGAGTGTGCGTCTGGTTTGTTGTGGACCCCCCCCATATCATCATTGACTATGGAGAGCAGCGGACTCTAGACCCAGAGAATGCCAGGGGAGTGCTCAAGTGTGACATTTCTGATCTCTCGCTCATTTGTTCGCTGGGGTACAGTATCCTCTTGATGGTCACTTGTACTGTTTATGCCATTAAAACGAGAGGTGTCCCAGAGACTTTCAACGAAGCCAAACCTATTGGATTTACCATGTACACCACCTGCATCATTTGGTTAGCTTTCATTCCCATCTTTTTTGGTACAGCGCAGTCAGCAGAAAAGGTAAGTGCAAGAAATGCATACACCAACCCTTCCCTGGATTTAACTTCTTTCTTTAAGAGGCTTCCCCACCTTTCTTTTCAGTTCACTTATGGTCTCTCAAATTGATTCAGTCTGTATTATTCTTATTTGGAAATAGATATATAGAATCCCTCAAGGTCACTTAACTTTGAATATGTGTTGACTAAGGTTTATTGTCCATGAAGAGTGTTTTAAGGTGTTTTCTTTAGCAAGGTTGAAAATTGACAGATCTCACATTACTTTCTGGGTCTCTCTTCCCAGGTCTGTTATCAGTGAAGAAAGCTGTTCTTTTCCTAATCTTAATTAAAAGAGGGTGGGAGAAAAGATAGACGTGAATCATAGGGATGATTGATCCCAGAGATATCCCCTTGCGTGGCAAATGCCTCCTTTCCTGGTTCTAATGTGACTCTGGGAAAAAACTTCCTTCACAATTATGATGGCTTTAGTCATGGAAGCAGGGTTTATCGTATAGCGACAATAACAAAAAAACTGAAATGGCTTAGTCCGATCTGAACCATCTTACTATTTCTCTTCAGCCCTCACTGTTACTGCTTTTCCATATGAGCAAGATGATGTTGAGGGATTAAAGAAGACAGCCACAGGCAGTTATATAAAGCAGTATATAACTTTTCAGAAGGTGAAAATCAATTAAATCTCTTAAAATAATTTCCTTTTGTCACTAATTTCCAGTTAAACTTTTCCACATAAATCACTGCAAGTAAAGGACATCGATATGAGAAAGGGAGCATATGCTGAATGGGATACATGTAGTTTTCTGTCCAGAAAAGCACAAAACTAATATTTCCATGAATTCCGGGTTTGGGTAGGTTAATGGAGACAAGCCTGCTTGTAAAACAAAGGCAAATGCTATCGTTCTGAATGAATAGTCCTTCAGCCTTTCAGCGCCTATGAGAAAGCTTTTCTCTCAGAGTGAGGGTTTAAAGATTACTCCACCGTCCATCATCAGAAGTTGTGAGGAAATCAAGCGTCCTGGGGACAATTACATTCCCTAGTCTCTAACATTCCAAGCGAGGTCATGCATGACTCTTAAAATCCCAACTAATTCAGAGGAAAAAGTACTCAACAAGGGTACAGAGAGCTCATTAGTATGAGGATTCATTCCTTACTTGATCAATGTGGCTTTCAACCATGTTTGGACACAAAAATATATACTTCAGCAAACTTGCTGCTGAATAGAAAAAACTTACCATGGGTTCCAGATCTGTGACCTTTCATGACTTAGATGACCTGATAGAAGTCCATGAATATTTAATGTGGGACCGAGCACATGACAGGAAAGCAAAGTAAGGCAGTCTGATGCTCTAAGCCTAATAAACATTATATTTTTGACATATGTAGATAGGAATTTATGGGGATCAAGCTTGTAAATACGACTTAGGAGAGAATGCATGAGCTGGAAAATAAGTCTCTCACAGTCTTTTGGGTCTGTTTTGATATGGTTAGTTGAACTAGTCAGGGCAAAACAATGTTCTTCCGATTCTGGAAATGTCTGCATTATGTGAATTTTTAATAACATTAAGTGACACTTGCATTGTATTTGAACCAAAGACTGCCTTTTTTGATATACCATTTTATCTGAAAAGGGCCATCAGTAATTTATTTTGTTTTCCTGTGGGCAACAAATATTTACCCAGACAAAAGCTCCTGAGTTCTAACATCAAACTTCCCTTTCTTTTTTCTTTCTCTTGCTTTGCATTTTATAAAGTACTTTCTATTCTTACTTCTCATACTGTGACTTTCAAAGGCAGTGGGGGAGGGCAAATATAAATGAGATGTTATTTCTATCTAGATAAGTCTTTCGGTGCCTTGATTTTTAGCACGAGTGGAATCACGATATGACATTTAGCTGTTGGATAGTATTATCATAGTAGTTTAAACATGCATCATACTAATGAGCTTTTTAAACATAGTGGAAAAAGATGGCCAGAGTCTCTCAGAACTGAAACCCTGCTAAGTTGCAGCTGTCCCCTTGCAGCGGTGATGGAGAGAGGAAGAGTTTCGGGATAAAATGGACAGGTGAATATGCTGGGGCGGGGGAGATGCGGCTTGGTGAGATGCCACTGAGCCCATGGGCTCTGCCGTGTATCTTCTGAAACCTGGAGTTTAGGTATATATGTATATATTTTTGGGTATAGATATATCCACGCCTATAGAGATATGCCTGAATGCTAGACAAATTTTTTTCTCTCTTTGTGGAATCAAAGGAAATCAAAGAAACATGTTGTAAGACAGATTACAAAATACGTTGATTGGATTTATTTTGTTTTTATGATATAATTGAATGTGGAAAAGCTGAAGAAATCAGGGAGAAATGCTAATTGTAGGAATTTTCAGAACATCGTAAAGCCCTCAAATTATTTAGTTAGTCTTGGAGTTGCTGAATCTGGACCAGCTCTCCTTCGAGAGTTATTCTAAGGAGCTGAGATTTGGCTACTGGAATACTTTATATAATACAATTATGTGTCATCCTAAGGCTTCCCATAAAATTTGCGACCTGTTATTCTCTGTCAAGGTATCTTTATTATTCAAAACAATACACAAAGCACATGAGAATATTTTTCTTCACATTGCTAAAATTGTTGACACAGGTGAATAAAACTCTATCTCTAAAGAAAGGCTTTACATAAGTTTTATTGACTTTGGAGGACCAAAGAGCTGGTCAGTCTTCCATTCTCATTTATAATGCTCAGCCAATTAGCCTATGTTATCAGCTTGAAGTGTTTATTGCATTTAAGCGGTACACAAATCCATTAATTCATAAGATCCTTATTGAGCACTGTGTCCTGTATGGTGCTAATTATTGAGCCCATGTCAGTCTGCTTCCCCGAGGCTTCCTTGTAAGGCTCAGTCTGGCTCCCGGCCGATGCCCGCCTGATGCCTGCCAGAACCAGCGAGGTGCCAGGCTCCAAGGCAGGAGCAGATCAGGCTCAAGGGCAGGGGAAGATGGTGAGGAGTCAGATCTGAGATGAGAAAGCAAAACAGCTATGCCTCCTGTAACTATACGTCAGTGACATAGAATTTATAACACACAAGACAGCGGAACAACAAAATTTCTTTCACTGTGTATTTAATTATGCTTCTTAGAGTACTCTACAAAAGAAAACTCATCTAACCATCCAGGTTTCTCTGAAATTATAACAGGAGTAGGAATAAAAGGTAAAATCAGTTGAATAATTGGGGCAGATGTTTTGGAAAACCCTTGGGTAAAATCAAATGATAAAGTTACATTTTAGCACTCATGAAGACAGACAGCTCTGTAAAGTAAGTCTTCGTTCAATGATAAAATACCATTTAATTTCCCATTTTTTTCAGATTTTGGAAATCAAGTTGAATCATGTTTTTCCCATGGATTTTAATGACATCATTTATTAGCTTTGTGCCGGCTGCATTCTACTAACTCATCGTATAAATGCACTTTTCCTTTTCTTATAGAAAAGTGGTCTGAAGGAAGGGTGGACACACTGAGGTGTGGACAGGGACTCACACAAACTCTCCTAATGGTTCTGAAAAGACTTAAAAAACTTAAAATATAATTAATAACCGTCAGGGAAAGAATCCTCAGGGATGGTGAGGGGCTGTTAGGATGGCAGAAATCTCCTGAATACATATTTTACCACCTCTAATTGCACTCATAAAGCTGAGATAATCAGACAAGGGTTATGACATTGCCAAGCTCCAAGGAGCACAGTGCTTTAACCAGTGCTTCGGGTGGAAACAAAACAAAACACCCTCAGAGCAAGGGAAAATAAAAAACCCCAAGACAAAAAATAACCAAAACTCAAAAATGTCAAATCCCCCTATGTCCCAAAGCAGCCATTCTTCCTTCAGTAGGACATCATCCAGGAGCTCAAGTCAGAAACCAGGGGCCTTGTCCTAGACTGCTACTTCTCACACTCTCACCTCTTCCCTTCTTCTTTTCACCTGCAAATGTCAGCCTTGAAACATTCCTGGAGGGGAAGCAGGAGCCATTAGAGGTATAGCTGAGTGACTACGTCTCTTAACACAGAGCCTTTCATGGACCTTCTCACTGAATGCCGACCCAAGGTGGGAATGGACTGCCTTGCACGAGAATGATCTAATATAATATCATAATCCTTCTTTATGGGATGCCTGAGTGGGTCAGTGGGTTAAAGCCTCTGCCTTTGGCTCAGGTCATGATCCCAAGGTCCTGGGATTGACCCCTGCATCGGACGGGGAGCCCGCTTCCCTTCCTCTCTCTCTGCCTGCCTCTCTGCCTACTTGTGATCCTTGTTAAATAAATAAATAAAATATTTTTTTAAAAAATCCTTCTTTATGATTTAAGTTAGATTGTGATGTCATGAGAATCTTAATTTTCATCTTATTGTGATCCCCATGATAACAGCTTTTTGGTTTTTTCCCTGAAAAATAAGTTTTCTCATTTCAGTGATGGGCCATATGTATTTCTTTATTAAAAAAAAAAATTGTCATTATCAATTCTTCCAAAATGGGGTGCTAAATATGTAGAAAGAAAGTCAAAAAGGAATTATGATTATTGTCTTAGTTCTGTCTAGCATGCACAGAACAAAGGAAAATTGATGGAATTAATCAGATAGTTCTGCCTCGTCATCCTGCCCTTGTTCTTTTACTGTATCTGCCTGTCACAGGGCAGAAGAGTGTGGGGCTGCAGAGTTGGATAAGGGGGTAAGGAAGAGCATAGGCTCTGGAGAAGGCAGATTTGGGTTCCAATCCTGACTCTGCTAAACTGGCTGGGGAAATGTAGGCAAGGGCGACACATCTGAAGCTAATAATACATTCTCCCAGAGAATGCAAATTCACACAAAGCAACATAAAGCAGTCACTTGCCATCTGTGCCCAGCCGTGTTCTCAAACTAGAACAGACTTGAGTTCATATCCTCTAGGAAAAGGCAGGAAGATGGGTGACTTAAAAAAAAAAAAAAAAAAAAAAAAACAAACTCCAGATATTTCTGTTGTCTCACTAT